CGGTTCAGCTTGAATTCGATCGATTACTCGATAAGGATAGAACGAGCTGGTTCAATAGTCTCATATATGACAAATATTTATCAAGATAAATTTTCATTTTTTGAGATGAATAAAATTATGTGATGACAATTGCTAGTGTGAGTACGGATTAGCAAATTTCATTCGCAGAGCAAAGACATCGTGACCGCTATTTATTCCAGCGATTGAACAAAGGCGACGCCACGAGAACGCAGATCGCTAGTATTCATCATAATAAACAGAAAGGAATAATGTTTTTCTATCATGGAATATTTGCATGATCACTTAACACCTTTACCTGGGTAAATTATTAAATGCGAAAGGAACATAAATTTACATGTATTGCGTAAAATTCTGTGAATCGTTAGATTTATATTTATAGTATTAAAATTACTGTTATAGCAGCGTAAATTATTTATGCTTATTGCAGAGCAAGTTAATTACGCAAACATAGATAGATGGTTTTCAAGTCTTATAACATAATCCCCAATAGATATTAATAAAATTATTAATAATATGGAATAATTCAAAAAATAAAAATTAGTAATATACGGAAATAATATTCATATTATTAATATAAACCTAAATCTCAACATAGGACATAAATAAAAGAGGCCGTGAGCATAATAATGAGGAATTTTATTTTCGCAGATCTGCAATATCTCTTATTCAGCTTACGATCTCTTGCAACAGGCATCGAATTAATCGTTACCTCGTATATAGTAAAAAAATAGAATCTTATGTTATTTTTATATCTTATCGTATAAAACGTAAAACACGGGCAATATCCCTTCGAAGAATCTTCCTTCACATTAATAAGTTTCTTCAACGAACGTAATGCTCAGAATGAACGCGCATTAGAAATATTTTCTGCACAGTAATACATCGTTAGCGAACATAATGAGGTAGCAATAATTCATATAATATAAATATAATACATAAAAAAGTACAATGAAAGAATTCTATGTAATTTTTAAATTTAACGCAGTTTTTTTAGAATAAAACGCAGTTTTAATGATTATATTGAGAAAGTTAAAAAAACAAAGCTTCCTCTATGAAGAAGCAAAACAAATACATTTTGCGAGAACAGAAATATTATCTATAAATAATCTAATAATATTTTTGAGTTATATTAAATGATATCATTCTTCGATGTTCCAGCAGGGATATACCTTTTCATCTTATTGATTATGTGTATTGGGAATTTAAAGAAGGCTGAAATAGTCTTTGCCATCTATTGTCAATAAGATATGGCTGGACCAATTCGTTTATGAAAATGTTCCACTTATCCTGCCATCGAATTAACGCATTATTTTTCTCTTGGCTGTTCATGCTGCTATAAATCAGCGAATTCATCGCCAATTGCTTCAGACTTCTAAGATCCGAGTTGGCACTCATGAGACCCATGAAAGCTTCATAAAAATCGTAACTGAGTCCTTTAACGCCCCATAGGCCGGGATCGTCGCTCGAAACTACGACGGGCGAGCCCAACGCAAACATAGCGGTCGCGGGATGATTTCGCATGTCCTTCACAAGGCTGAGAACTTGATTCGAGATGGGACAAATCTCCACTGCGATTCCCATTTGCTGCACAAGGTTCCATAAAAGTGGATGCTTCGTCAATGCGTATCTGAAGAAATATTTTGAATGTCAATGTGTGCCATTTTATGCATTATATCAATCATAGACTGCGAACGATATTTTAAGTAAACTGTGTTTCGATATATCGCAATCTACTTTATTGAATTTCAAAATAAAAATTTAGATAAACTATTAATAAAGAATCTTAAACAATAAAGTAAAAATATCGTAAAAAACGCAATATTTTTGCATTCGACATGTTAATTAATTAATGTTCCTATTGTGAATTTTCTAAATTAATTTTCTTTTAATTTTATTAGCGCTGCTCACCCGTGGCCGATACGTTTGGTATTGAGCAGCAAAGCATCGAAAAGATTAAAGTCAGTGGACACTCCGTTCCAATTGGTCTCTCCGGCGTGGAAGAAGAATTTAATTTCCGGGTTAACGGCGTTTAACTTGTCGGCGAACTTTATGAGAGGTTCTCCTTTGTCCTCCTGGCCGACCAAGTCGAAACCAATTACGAAGTTCGGATAATGTTCCGTCAATTGCACCAGCGTTTTCAGGTATTCGTCTAGTTTTGTTTCATTGATGGACCGCCTCGGTGAATATATAATCTTAACGCCAAGGAAATCGGGATGATCCCGTACAAACCTATCATACATCTATTTTATTACACATCCCTTTGCTCACAATACTTGGTTATGAAAATAAATTTAAACAAAATGCTTCTTACCTATCGGTGATGTTCTTGAGAATTCCCGCCATTTCCAGCGATCCATAGATTCTGTCAAAATCATGTAATGAGAATAGTGTCGATCGTATTTCCGCGTACATCACATTATCTTCGTAGAACTCCTGTAGTACGCGGTAATAAAGATCTTCGAAGATAGGTCGATAGGACAGCCAGGAGTGCATAAATTTGAAAATGCTATTGAACTTTTCCCATGCCTTGTCGACGGTGCTATAAGCGCTTCTCGGATTTTCCGTGATCATGGTCATCGACCGTCTGATTCTATCGTTGATTGCATCGGCCTGTTGTAGATCCCGTCGCACCTCGCTCAATAATTGCCAGTCGCAAGTTTTGTCAGGATTCTTAAAAAACTTGAGTTGCAAACTGCCGTTTTGATCGCATACATATAGATTCTCACGATAGGTCACATTGTTGAGTTTATAGTCGAGCGAGACGATGGCGGACTCGTGAGCATGGAGAACGGCGCCCTTGGGCATTTTACGTAAAATCTTGAATACCTCGGATTTTTCTATTTCCGATATGACCTCCAGGAAGTTACGCGATGGTAGAAAATTATTGCTGGTAAGCCCTGCCCGAAATATAAAGAATTTCTATTATAGGGATATCTATTATAAATCAAACATTAGATATTTCATTATCAGCTGTAACAATGATGTGTAATATTAATGTTGTATCACTTTCTGTCGATTTCTCTTTTCCCTTATTTTATATACGTATATTTTTCTAAGACTCATTTTCCTTTTCTTTTCTTCGATGATAAGAATTTTTATCATTAATGTAATTATGATTGTAAGTAGAAATGTGGAATTATGTGCTTCGTCAAAATCTTATTTCAAGAAGCATTTTAGTTTTTGTTTGTAATATGTTTTAATACTGGATGTTTTGTTAACGTTGAATAAATAGTGATATATCAACAACAAAAATTGTTCCTCGATATCTTGCGCTATCAATTCATGGTTTCGTGCACGATTATTCATAACGCGGTTTCGAAAACATGAATTATAAAAAGACCGCTTAGAAAAGGAAAATTCTCCCTAAAAAAAATAGTTTCAAAGATTAAATCGATATAATAGTTAGTAGTTTAAGCCATTATCAACTGTTTCCGTGTTTTTCGTTAGATCTTATCACGTTATCATTTTCATATGTTAATCTTTATTTTGCTTATTTTTCACTACCCTATTTTTTATGTCAACTTGTCTCATTATTTTTGTGTATTTGGCATCGAGACACTATCGCATCTCTCAATCAGAGAACAACAGACAATAATATGCTATGACATAACGGTTCCTAAACAGAAAAAAAAATAAAAAGAAGACACAAAAAAAGCTAATATTTATTTCGCGAACAAATTAATGTAATGTGAACGATTTGATATTTAATTATACATTGAATATGAAAAAAACTTTCGAATTTTTTTGTTACAAAATTTGTTTTTGAACAACGCTCAAAAACTCATTCTATGAAAAAATATTGCACCAGAGATTGATCATTAATCTAACAAGCTATGATTATTTTCTTTATTTAAATAATTGCAGACTACATGCGGCCACGTTTACGCATAAATTTGTTGCAGGAATGATAAAATTGAACCTTCGTGGATTTCTTGGCACTTGATTGACATCAGAATCTTATTCGCAATTAATTCCATGGGATTGAGTTCTAACTGGCCGCCCAGGGAAGATCGCGTTTCATTCATCATCAGTTTCCTTCGTAATTGCCAGTAGTAGTTCTGTCGTATGAACTTTCGCGCGTGCATGAATTGCGCATTGATCACGTTGCCACAGATCAGGATCGTCAAGGTGAACAAGATCAACCAAGTCATGTTGATCATAAAAAACTGTATTTTACCAATTACACACGAATTATCGTTGTCATATAGTCTCGCCTTGATAAAACACTTTGCATCAAAAGGTGACATTCGATTCTACGTAAAATAGAACTGTGTGAACGTTACGGCTGTTCGATCACCACTGAATAATTCTCACTACCAGAACTACCATTATAAGGGTACTCGAGGAGTGGTGTATAATGAGAACCCCGGTAACTCTCATTAGCAAAGTCGTTTGTTGACCATGTGTATTGTTAACGACCAATGACATATGCCCATATTTCCCAACTATATAAATCAAACATTCAGGCAGAAATCCACATGCGCGATCGCAAATATACGTGTAAATTTATTTATATAGGGGTCATAATAAAAAAATTTGAGTATATTATGACAATATTGCGCACGATATAATTAGATATTTAAAGAAGAAAGACTTGTTATTCATTAGATTTTTAATCGATTTTTCTTCGGCTAATTTAAAATTAGGAGAATAAACAACAACACACATTCTAGACCAATCAAACAACCTGTCTAAGTATTAAGAATTATAAAGAACAAGAATCTTGCACGTCTCTGCGATTTAAAATAATATTTCATGTTAGCCAAAGACTTTATCAAAAATTAAAGAAACAATTATAAATTATTTCCGTTTTTCTTTTTCTTATCGAATCCTTTATACACTTAATTAAATTATGCAAACATAAATAATACGTCTGCATAATTTAATTAAGTTGATTGTTACGTAAATAATGTTTACATATATGTGCACGCGTGAAAATTTTATAAAATAAATATATATTGTGACCACTGGGTTGCGTTACAAGAAAAGCTGTTGTTTTATAGTTATTTTCATTTTGTACCTCAATGAAAATAAATTTTTATAGACTAATAAGAGAGAGAGGATATAGTATCTGGTGATGAATTATCATGATTATCGCTCAATACAGATATAAATACGTGCCGAATAAGATAGAAACCTAATTGCAGAATGGATATTCTATTACATTTTATCTTATCTTAATTCTTTCATATATTCACTCTTGTTATTATCTTACATCTTAGGAATTTGCATTTTTCTAATATGCATATATGTAAAGTATTCTAGTAAGTGGTCTTTTCCTGAATTGTCTTTATCACTTCATCTGTCAGAATTTTAAAATAAATTAGATATTGAAATACTGATTAAATCTAAATAATTAATACTAAAATAATATTTAGAACTAATATTTAAAAGCAATTCTTATTCTCTTGAGCATTATGGATTATATTCGTCAAACGACCTCGTTTTTTAAAGTAATATAATAATCAATTTCATATTATACAGGGTGCTCCCGGATTAAATGACCAAATATAAAATATAAATTTAGGACTTCAAAACAAAAATAATTTTCTTTTGAAAGTATGATCGCAAAGAATTCGTTCAAGAGATATTGACTTCTTAAGTTACAGAACTATAGAAATGGATAATATCGAAATGTTTCTTTTTTTTATTTGAAGATCATTGACAGGCTTGTGCTTGCACTGTAAACAAAGTAATTTATTAACATTAAATCATTAAAACGGAGGATATCGCAAGCGTGCGAAAAAATAACAGATGCACAATATTAATTAGCCATTCGTTCTCTCATCGATAGGTGCAATGCTGTCTCTGGACTAGAGACCATCATTGAACAAAACATTTAATAATTAAATTTTGATTATTATAAAGCAATAAAAAGAATATACCTAGATTATTTCGACATTATTCATTCCTATATTTTAAAACTTAAGAAGTCAATATCTCTTGAACGAAGCGTTGACGGGCATACTTCCAGAGGAAATTTTTTTTTTGTTTTGGGATCCTATATTTATATTTCAAATTTGGCCATTTAACTCAGGAGCACCCTGTATATTCTTTATAATTTTTTGTTTTCTTTTTGCCTATATGCGTGCACGCATACAACTGCATATGTCCACAATATTTTTTTAGGTTTTTCATATTTGTCAATTTTTGAAAACCTATAGATTATATTATTAATTAGAGCAAGTTTCTCTCTCTCTCTCTTTCTAGTTGCGCAATTAAAAGATCATAAGGAATAAATACATTCGACTAAACGTGTTACAAATGGATTAAAGGTAAATAATGATAAAAAAGATCGTTACGCCACACGATACATATATTGAATCGTTATACAAAATAGTCTGCATTATTATACGTGACCTAACGAGATTCATCTCTGCGTAGCATCTCGAACGGGAAATCCGGGAATTCCGAATCATGTACAAAAGTCGTCATGTTTTATTCTCCTTCGTTTAACGCTGCATACAAATTACAAATGATTTAAGGAGACATTCTTATGTAAAATTTCAAAAACTTGATTATCTCAAATCCCGATAAAAAAAAATATCTTTCAACGCAATGTTTTAAAATGTCATATTTTCTTACATACATGATTTACAAAACATTACAGTCTTTTTATAAAGATAAGTAGTATTAGGTAAGTGGTATTAGGTCGTTATTCACAACATCCAAGTGCAAATAGTTTAAATACATTCATAAAATGTAAATTGCAAAAATACCTTTAGGAAAAATCCGTTAAAAGAAAGAATCAACTTCCTCGGCTATTATTAGAATTTTTGTACAAATTAAAACCAAAATCGATTATTCATTATGTTACTCGTCAATCTAAAGGCATTTATGCTTTCGTAAACACATTTTAGTTAGGCAATATTATTTTTTCACATTATCACAAAATCTCATAAATCACGGAAATTTTTGATAAAGAAGATATGGCATTCTATATTATTTGATTCACTTCTCTGCAATGCGTAGCACTGCGTAAGATAAGAACGTGAAAACAAACATTCCTTCAACTAAATTAAGCTAAATTGAGTCACGTAAATTCTAAGTTACTACGTATACATTGTTGCTGACTTAAATCAATGCGGTTTCAGATAGATACAAGCGAAGGATACATTTACATTTCCAGACAATAAACGTGCCAATTACTGATTATTCGGAAAAAATAGTTTATAACACTATCCGAAAATGTATAAGCATACTTCTCTCACTCGTTCTTTATTAACTACATATTTCTATTAGGGACAGTGAACGCATTAAGCTATATCGTAGGTAGCTGTAATAATCACGATATCTCATAAGAGGATCGCATTTGATCGCACACATAAATTGAATAGTAACGAGAGATAAGAAACTTTCTTTCTCGTAAACTCAATAAGAAGAGCATATTGCATCTTAATTCAAATATTGTTATATATATCTTTTTTCTACTCCTAAGTGTTTTTTCATATATGTATGCGTGAATATGTGTATATGCGCGCGCGCATATGTGTGTGTTACATAAAGGATTTCATATAATTACATGAAATTGCAAATAAAACATACATTCTGTTATACAAACCTCTCTCTCTCTCTCTCTCTCTCTCTTTTCATCATTTAATATTACGTTAATTACAAAAATGCACGTGTTATTTTTGATCAATATTCGTTTATAAATGCAGTTCATATCGCAACACAAAAAGAAATTAGTAAAAGCGAGGAATTGTTCAACTTTCTAACATGTCAATATAATTATGTTAAATTACGTATATCACACAATCCAGCTGTAAAAAGATATAACGATGATATTACATATTGAATCGTCGTTGCTTGTTTATTGTTAGAGTAACTCTTAATTTAACTGCACATATTAATAAGTATTCTTTTTTATTTATTTCTTGAATGCTTTATAGAATTACCTTTGACTAATTTTAGCTGAAGAAACATTGAAATCTGTATTTTTGTGATTTTTTAAACGCCTAAAATTTTTTACTCACAGTATCGTAATATATTTAACATACATCAAATTTCGTTAATGTTGTATTTTGAGTATTGTAGATGTACTATTGATATCATCAATATATAAAAAATAATCACTTAAAATCATCTTCAATAAATTCTAAAATATTAAAATATTTTATGGAAAAGTATTTCTGATAAGATAAAAGTTACTTGGTTTCAAAAGAAACTTTCTCTGATAACTCAGTTTGTTCCAGATAAAGATCTCGAGATTTCTAATTTTCATTTTTGTCTTTTTAAACAAAGATATGTGTTTTTTGATATATAAGTCGATTCTTCTCATCATTCTACATTAAAAAGTATTAAGACAGAATCATTAAAAAAATCAATAATGTACAAATATTTATAATTTATTTCGATATTATGTTATGTTATAAAATGTATAATATTTTATCCAGTATTTATTTTCCATAAAACATCAGATTTAAAAATGGCAGTTTCTAGTGTGATTTACTCTGTATATTTGTGCTAATGTCAATATAGTATGAAAATGCAGAGGAAATTGCTCATAAAAAAAGAATTGGTCAAATTAAAAAAAGGCCATTTATGAGATAATAGTGAAAAATAAATACATATCATATATCTAAAGAGATTTCATCATATCTAATTCTTGCCATAAAATATTTTAATCAAAAGCATTATTCGTAAATTTTATTCGTGTGTATTTTATGTCTTATTGTCTTTCGTTATTTTCTTTACGTGAATTGTACAAATAAAACTCACAAATATGGTGCAATATTCGATACATTACAATTTGATATCGACTTATTTACGGCGATTGCTTCCATGTGATTAGAAAGCGAATTTACTCGAATGTTTGATTCTAGATATAAATGCTTGCATTATCTATAGTATTATGGACCGAAACTTGCCGGAATAAATCAACAAATTAAATCCTTATTCTAAATACGCGAAATTATGATTCAATCGCGTGTAAATTATACATCACTCGCGTCATATAAATAGTTTGAGTAAAAACGTAGTCAATTACATCGCACGGTTAAATAAAATTGTACATATAGCCATTATTAATGTTACCTATAGTACCGTTTGAGAAATCATTATCAATTCTAGTAGAAAATAAATATCAGTTAAGCCATGCGATCATACATAAATATGTAGCAATTTATAAATGTATCGATTAAAATATATTGTCTAGCATAAGAAATTATTGCATATTGCACATTAACTTTATCGATATGGACTCATATTGATGATTTAAGAAATGTTTAATTTTTTTATCTCTGCATCAAATATAAAATATGTGTACAATCTGATGCAGCATATTTTAATCTATTATATTCCATATAGAATCAAAATTTATTACATTTTATGGACGAAGAAAATACTTTATATGCATCATATGGAACATAATGGATTAAACATTATATATTTTCATCAATATGCACCATAGTACTAAGAATATATCAAATTACATAATTGCAGATCCTGGTATTATATACTATCAATTTAATGTGCGATATAATATCCTGTAATATGTCACTTAGTATATCTCTGCATCAATATATCATTTATGGCCTATTGCATTTTTATAGATTATTTCATAAACACTTCTTATCCAATATACAAACATACAATTTATATACAAATTTGCAATATACAAATTTACTATCTATTAATCCACTGGTAATAAGGTTAAATTTGTAAATTTTTTAAATTGACTTTATAAAAAAAAAATTTGCTACATATAATTCTAGTTTAGAAAAGTATTATTTACAAAGTTTGGTGTATATACACTCAAGTACATTTACGAAATTTTAGACTTACATAAATTGAATTTGTGATTTAATAGATTTCTTTGTAAATCTAACGTTATCACCCAGTCATGGATTTTAATAAGCAATATACATAGTATATCCCCACATATGCAATATATGGCGAATTTCTCATATCGATAAAGCTAATAATTTTAGAATGCAATCAGAATGCGATTATCAATGTTTTATGTAAATATTTAGCCTACATTATTACATATATTGTACATAAATACACAAGTTCTTCTCAGTGAAAAGTACACAAGATACTCTGTATTGCATTGAACTGACAGTGTGTATCATAATAATCGTTTATACAGTGAGCAGTTCTAACAATGTGTTAACGACCATTAAAGGTCTTGTCATTGAATCGTCGTCCTATAGAAGATCCCTGAGAAAGAAGCGTTAGTATTTAGTAAAACATGCAAAATTTATTTATTTCTTTTTTCTTTGTTTTCTTTTTTGAAAGATTAAGCCATCTGATTTTGATTGTATATGAAATTGTATAATAACAAAAATTCCACTTACTGTAACTATAAAAAGTCGCGCAATATTTAAAATTTATCTGGAATTCCGAAACTGCAATTTTGGAAATATCAGTGTGAGCAAACGTTTGTTATTTTACAATCACACCTATCACTTATTTCCCTGTATTACCTGTATAAAAAGATGCAACCTTGTCTATTTCATTTCATGAAATGACTCAATTAAATATCAAATATTTTTACTAATTTAAATTTGTCGTCTCTATTCTCCATACATTTTCTTCGCAAATTTCGAACGTGAGTCAAGTGCAGATCTCTTTGACAGATCTCACAACAAGATTAGAATGTATATGACGCGTTGCCAATCTATGCCCAATAATACAAATATGTTAACCAAGCTCAATTAAATTAAGAAGTTTTAAGAGCCTTATCCGCGTGCGCTAGAGTCAAAGATCCAACGAGAGATACTAGGGTTCGATCCAGCCATGTTATAGGATTAGGATACAGAAAACCTCCTTCGTAGAAACCTAGATGACCTCCGTGAGCCAATTCCACATATAATGTGTTTAAATGATTTGCTAAAATTAAGAATTTTGATAATAGTACATTCTTACTTACTATACTCATTGTATATATGCAATATATATATCTACCTGCGTGCTCTTTAATTGGATTTAATAATACTTCTGGCACGATAGGATCGTCTATCGCGTTGATGAATACCATCGGCGTTGTAATATTATCCAAATAAAAGATACAACTACTCCATTTATATAATTCTTGTACAGATCTAAAGTTGTGTATCTAAACAACAAAACAATTCATAAAAATTAAAAATTCCCCGTTTAAATTATCTGGTAGTATTTGAAGAGAAATTGAACTTACTCTTCTCGTGTACGCTTCATCTAATTCGGGTAATGTTGCCGCAGAAATTATATCGTGTTCGTTCAAATTATACCTCTGTTTTACATCTTCGCACAAAAGCATGTTTTTATGCTTTAGTATAAGATTCTTCATCGACTCTGTCATTACATAGAGATAGAAGCGTCTAAAGTTCTGCCAGTTTAATAGAATTTTCGTTCCTCTAAAATAAAATATATATATATTTAACAAATTAATAAAACAAAAAAAAAATGTACAATAAATTAATATTTCTCCTTATTGATTAACATTTTAATTGTTAATAAAAAAAGTTTGTTTAGTTACTCGAGAGCGTTGTATCCTTGACAAATCGATATTCCTCCTATAATGTTGGGCAATTTATTGGGACCTCGTTCTCCGAGATATTTTGTCACTAAATTACCGCCCAAACTATAACCGATGCAAACTATTTTGGTATTAGGATGCTTTTCTATCAGATTTTGTAACATTGTGCTGTAATCGTCCGTGTGACCTATTCGCAAAATACACATTATAAGGTTTATCCCAAATTGAATGAAAGAAACAAATTTAATATAATATAAAAAATTATATAACACAATATAAAATCATATTTACTCAATAAATCAATATATCTGAAAAGAGAGGATAATTTTATAAGAATTTTCAACATTAAATTCGAATAAGTAATTATATATTTGACATAATTACGGTTATGTAATCTCTAAGTTTAGATTAATAAAGCAATATAATTTCTTTCTCTCTCTCTCTTTCATTGTAAAATCCGATACTATTCGATATTAAAATGGTTTTTTTCCACAGCTGTTATAATTCCCGATATATACACATACATGATATAAGAACTCTGTTATTACTCGCAGACTTTCCTTGATCGACCGCCTTGTCGCGGCGGAACAACTTTTATCGATCGCCATACATACCGTAAGAAAATATCCTTGGTGCTGTGATCTTGACACTGGAAAGGGCTCCTACGTGATTAAGTACTGCGCATCGATAGCCATGACATTGTACAAAATGCACGAATGTCCTGATGTAAACACTTTCCGAGCTGTTGCCGATACCGGGACAGATAGCTATCGTTATGTCATCTGGAGAACAGCAGTTATTAGTAATAGTAATACACTTTCTTATTCTTTAAATTTTTTATTATTAAACACGTTCTCTCCTAAGATAAATAAATATAAATAAATCGCCAAATGTGTTTTGCTCTTTGAGAAATCTGAAATTAATTTTTGAACAATACCTTCATGTCCGTTGGTCAGCGGCTGATAGAGATCATACGAAAGAGTAGTATCATCCGAAAGAGCGATGTACACGCGTTCACCAATGGGCCAAGGGCACCGAACGCGCCCTATGACACTGTGAATAATAGTTTGTACGTGTCCGCTGAAACCCCACAACCTCGTTGGTTTGTATCTAAAACAGGCCAAGGACCATAACCGTTTTTAACTTATGTGTACCGAAATATACTGAGAAATTACTGACACTTATTAAAAAAATGTAGCTAATTTAACTTTATCAACCTGTCATTTCGTTTTTCGTTATTCCCTTGTGTGTGTTAACGGACGCTAAAGATTTTTAAATTTCAAGGGCAATAAAGAAATTAACGACCTAGGAAAGAATGGACATAAGATCATATATAATTATATATATCCATTTTTTTCTGAGGGAAAGACAATTATAATTATTAAAATTAAAAGAAAATATGATTATAAGATATATATAAACAATTAGAAATCTCTTAAATTTGCTGCATCTTTTTAAAAGCGTGTCCCACTTTTTTTATGAAAACGATGATCGATGAGAACTAAATTAAATTCAATCAATATTTGTACACTTTCTTCACGGCGTACTATAATCCTGAACAAACTCTGAAGTATAAATTTCACCCGAGTAGATATTTACGATATTAGATAATTACGATAGTAGATAATTACGATATTGTAACGGTACTAGATATGCCAAAAAAGATACTCAAGAGAACAGCACATGTGCTTGAAAATTTACTATTAATTACCGCGGTAATTACGAATCGAGATGTAAATTACGCTTAAACAATCAAATATTAAAATATTTTTATTTTGATAATGCATATATGCTTCATACATTGAAACAAATTTTGAGACATAGATATCGATTAATTAAATACTTATTTCAAGTATCAATAATAATCTTTATTCTCGTAAAAAACACATTATTATTATCAAACTGATAACGATATTTTTGTTACATTTAATTTTAAGTACAAAATCGAAAAAAACATGACTTTGCGTAAAAAAGATAAATGATATGATATCATTCTATGAAATTAATTTATTCCTTTAGAGTAAAAATACGTTGATTTTATAATATAACATAAGATCTATCAAAAGATCTAAGAATTAAAAATATTTTTTGAAGTTGCTATAGTTCTGTTTCATTTCGTGAGGCGCATACATTCTTTACGTTCATTTTTTTTTTTTTTTTAAGGAGAAAACTACGAATGGACTTATAGTATATCACGCATTTCACTCGGCAAAACGCAAATCGGTGAAAAGCGGAGTCGAACAATAGACCGCATCGTTAAACTCCTTTATAGAGAAGACAAGAAGTCGTAGTGGATTAGTGGAACACGGGGCAAAGCGCTAAATAAAATAAATCTACAGAAAAACTTGAATAAAAAAAAAGTTTATTGTTATAGATTGCGAGAAATATCTGTATATCAATAAGATTCATCGTTGGCAAGAAAATATATTCCGTGAAATCGCTAAATGAAGTATCTACTGACATAATTACACATATCTATTCGATTCACAACGACTTCTAGAAACCATCCGAGAAGCCTGTATAATTTGTTTTGAAAGGCTCAAACCTTTCTCCTTTTGCTACCATCTATAAATCGCAAGAACACTGTAATATTTAGTATCTAATTATTGTCATAACCATATGCGGTTACAGCTGCCAAAGAATATACGGCATTTGGGCGATTATTAATACAACGACATATGCATGAAATGACATCGACCATATTACTGCATTTTAAAGGCAGAAATGTATAAAGTTACACGACAAGTTACGGATCAATAAAGTATACTAACATTATATCGATTGTCCAGAGTAGAACAGACTCACAAAGAATATACAACTCGCTTTCTCAACTTACAGAAAAAATATTTACTGCATCTTTATCTCAAAAAGTCTTTTAAAATTTCTTAAATACAGAAAAAACGCGATTTTAAATTCATTAGGAAATTAAAAAAGAGGGATTCAAAAGTTTATCATCAGAATTTCCTGCAAATGCTAATGATATATTTTCATACATTATCGATAGAAATTTAATCAGTACATTTGTTGCATTCGATCTGACGTTACTATCCACGCTTCTCCGAAAACTTGATAGAGCATTTTGATGATAATTATTTTTCAATTTCTAGTTCCCATTCTTAATATCATGTTTTCTCTGCTAACACAACTAGCATAAGATGCTAAATCTAAATCGCTTAATAAGATACAGATTTTTACGTTTGTTTTTGTTCTCTCTTGCTTTCTATTTAATCTGTTTTTCTACGTGACTTAAATTGCAGCATGAGAGGAGAAAAGATCTGTCCTGAAATTTTGCGAATTATGAATCAACGTAAAATTCTTTCCTCTCGCAATGAGTTAGCGTAAAGTTGAACGTAGTGACAGTCAATGCACGTGACAATTTGCAGTTGTAAACGCAAGGAGAATCGTGTCAATACTATTCGCGCCACAGCTGCGAAATCATCGCACGAATTGTGACGTGATAAGGAAAAGTAGGGTAAACTATATGTCGGGCCCCTATAACTGCCAAAGACGTAGAAAAAGTTCTACGTTTTTATATATATATATTATAACGATAGTTTTTCCCCATTACTTCGATTTTCGATGAAGCGATAAAAATACGCGAAAACTCTGTTCTAGAATCACTATCCAATTTTGTAATTGTATTCCCTGATAATATGCTAATTTTTGTACACGTGAGAATTACATAATGGAACGTGGAAAGTTTGAATTATCTTATTTTAGAACTCCTCAAAAATATGCACAAAAGATTTTGTACTGACGTAATACTTTTAAATTATGCAATCTAGCCTTGAGTTTTTTTCAATAAAATGCAGAAAAGGTCAGTTTTTTTTTATTCTTTTGATAAAAATCACCTATAATATAACACGTACGTAGTGATTAATATTAGTATAAATATTAAATTTCGACGAAACTCAAATTTTAGCATCACAACACAGTGGTCATACAAAGATAATGTGTTTTAGATTATTAAAAATGTATATATTTTCTTATCACATTATCTATAGTTAGCTGAAAAATTCTATTTTCATATTAGATTACAAGATTATAATACATACATTCATATATTGGGTTGAACGGAAAGTTCGTGCCGTTTTTTACTAAGAGATGAAGATCGAAAAAACGGCACGAACTTCCCGTTCAACCCAATACATTATATTGCAAATTGATTTTTTTGTTTAGAGTTCACGGTCATGGCTAGTATAATCGATCAAAAAACCTGAAAGCTATCCATATTTGCTGAACGTTATTACATTGTTCGTCATTCGATCAGGTATTCCAATTATCAAAAAATATCTATACGTAATTGGTAGTAACAAATTATTTTTACTTTTATAATATATAATATTATAGAATATACTTTCACTACCCATTTCTCTACCATCGTTACTATAATATAAACAAAGATTATTTAATATATAATATTAATTTATACAATACGGTCAAAGAGTATTTAAATTATTTTTTAGTAATACGAGAATGTATGTGCGAGCAATTTTATCATTTTGCTTCAATAGGCAAATTGCCTCATTCACTACATTAAATTAAATTCGATAAGTCATCACGTAAAATGAAAACTATCGATTTGCTAATTTTATAATTTCAAGAAAGAAAGAGAGAGAAAGAGAGTATTACATTTATTATCTTGCTTTAATATGCAAATATTAATCATCTATTATACTGAAAATTTGGTAAGACATTGCAGATGGAATGATTATTAATTTGCCAATTTCACAATTTTAAGAGTATGTATCACGTTAACAACGTCAACTTATTATTCGAACACAAAGTGAAAAATTTCAAAAATACATATCATTATAATAACTATGTCAATAGTAAGATAATCCGATTAGATAATAACTCAATTACATATTACGATTAAAAAAAACAAGCAGTTCATCTGTATTACCAAACGGCTTCTACATCATCAATGAAAAAACAAAATTAATTATTCACGTGTAATTCCTCATAACTTTTATGTTTTTCTATCATTCTGACATCTTATTCCGACTTCGTAAATCCTCGAGGAAAGATTCTACGGGCAAAACTATATTATTTTTCATAATTTACTATCCAACGAGATAATAATATCGGAAAATTAGAGCGCACTGTTGTGTGTGTGGTTTAATAGTTATTATATATTTATTTAGTATTTTTATTTTTATTTAGCACTCTAATGTATAACTGTATTAAACTTATTCGATTTCAGATAGTATCTAATTCTTTATAATATAGTTTGCGTGATTCCGTTTCAATTGGTCTGTGATTAAACTTATACGTGGAATCGCGAGTTAAAAACGGATCACGCTGATTATGAATGCGACATATATGCACGAGAGAATCGCTGTTTTTTACATGATAGTGAATGCGGAAACGCAAAAAATGCCCGTGAGAAGTTGAGTTGGGTGGTAATGACTCAAGAACGGCGTACTGCAATAGTTGCAACGTGTAGTCATTAGAAAGAAGAAAGCGACAAAATCATGACGAAGGGAAACAGCTCGGTTCTCGTGCAGCTCGCTCGCTCGAACAAGACGGAACCGATTTGAGCGAATTGCGTGCTACAACGACTCGATCTTCGCAAGAGAAGCAAAGTAACGATCAAATATACGATTGACGTGAGAGGATGGCACGACAATCGGACGATCAAAATCTATAATTTATGATTTTCGCCGCCGTACATTCGAACGTTAGAAAAAGCAACAACAGACGGGAAGTAAAAGCAATACTTGACAGCTGATTGCTAAGAAATTTCACGATTTCTCAATAAACTGCGCGAGAAAAGTCCTTCAATGTGGGATCGGGTAATAATCATCTACCGCGATATCGCGTGAGCGAGAAATCGGGAACTGTGGAATTTCGATAAGAACAGTTTTCGACATTAAATCATGTATTCCTTGGACACTTTAAAAAAACTATTATTTTTTAGTATAATTTATTTGTGCTAGCCGAGAAACCTAACGACATTTACGTTGATGTAAGCATCAGATATTAAACTCGAATAAAACTTGTGGTTGTTTTCAATCAATACATCAGTCAAACATTTATATTTGTAATTACATTCTTGAATCATCGGTTATAGAGGCAAACGTGCACACGTGACGTTACTATTTTTTCTATATGCAATACAAAGTTAAAAATCGTTGCATGTTTCCGCTTTCTTAAGCGCTTTCATGCAATGCAATTGAAAGAAAAAAGAAATTACAATTAGCAATCAATTTATTTGACCAATGGAATGTTTTTTTTATTATTGAATTAAAACTTTTCTATGATATTAGCGTCAC